TGATATGCTGCAATGGCCCCTTTAAATATGAGATCAATGTAGTGAATTTTGCCACATTTGCCGCTGGAGCTGTGAAAGCAGACAGTTGCTGCGTCCCAAATGGCACACTATACACTATGCACTCATGCACTATGTACTTATGCCCTTACACACTCAACACAATAGTATATGTATGTAGTGGCGTCCCAAATGGCACACTAATGTTTTTTTTACTAAGCGGAAATTCAAACCGTTTTCCTGATGACGTTTGACGGTTGCCAAATCAGTGAAATAAACAACCAAATTACCAAATAATACCTGCCGTGAGTTTTGCCGCATTCACCATCGGGATGCGCTATAATCACTCTCGTAGGAGAATTTTGCTTTCACTATCCAAAATAAATAAAGTTATTCAACATGTGCGTCCGATAGCTCCGCCCCTTCCGCTACGTAAGCAAACCTGCGATTGTTGAGTGTGTGAAGTGTCCATCATTAAACACTTCATTTTAGGGGCTGAATGAGTGAATCATCCGGGTAATTAAAGTGCACTCATTATTTTTAGAGTTTTCAGTGTGAACACACTACTTGCACTATTTATACTACAAAATAGCGTAGAATAGTGCATAAGTATGCGATTTGGGACTCAGCTAGTGTTGTCACCAGAGCAGTAAAAGTGAACTATGATGCTCTCGCTGCCTTCGGTGTGAACACACAATAAGATTTTCTTTGATATTTACACACTTTTATTGGATGGTGAATGACTGTAATAATTAATGGCAGCTTAAACTGGCAGCCAACTCAATAAAAAAGCATATAATTCAGCAAATGACATACTGCATTTAAATCATGATGCTGTGTTTTACAGTATGTGCCAATCTGCCGGATGTGGATGTGTCACAAAATATTTGTAAAGCTATGTATTTTTATGTGCTTAACTTAATACAAATATTGCAATGCATTTATTATACCAGTTTTATTCATTTAAAAACTTATTAGAAAACCTGCATGTTCTCAACGTATGCTCGTCCCACAGCTGCTTATCTTAAAACAGTCATGCCATTATCTGTGAAAAGTTCTGATTCTGAATCACTGATTATGAGCAGATTTTCTCTCGAAATGCAGATAGAGCAGCAGCATGCATTAGTTTTTGTGAGAATATACCACAGCTAAGTTTATTTTTTGCCAGTCTAAAGGTTGTGGTGTCTGTGGCAGGGGAAGGTTTAGCTTTACACACACTCCCCATTAAACCACAGCTGAGCAGGCTGTAACTCTTACACTCACAAACAAGAGTATAAATACTTATAACACTCAAAAACTGAACAAAATGTTAATATTAATGCAATAAAAAAAATCATGTTTTACTTACTTTTCTTTAGTTTTATAACCTTTTCAATTATTTTTAATAAAAAAGTCTTACAATTTTCATGGGGGTTGGTATAAAAAATTAACAAGAAAATCTGAAAACAAAATAAACACACGTAAAAACGTTGAACTGTCCATTTTTTGGATACATTAAAACTCGAGAATGGATATTAAAACAGAAATAAAGGGCAACGATATCACAGTTTGAGATAAATCATCACCGTGTGGCATTTATTATTCCCAATTGGGCTCTGATATCCCAAGTATAAAGCTTAAATTTTAAGATATAATAAAATTTAAAATGTTAAATAGGTTAAAATGTGTTAGCTCCAGTGTCAAATGCTTAATAATAGCATTAGCTCCAGTAATTATAGCTAAACATGTGATCAATAAATTCGGTGCAGATGTGCACAATGGGTGCTCAAATTAACCACACAAACACACAAGTATAGCACTTATGAAGAATCAAGCACAGACTGACCTCTGATCTGCTTTTAGTCCTGACCAGAACACAAAAGTCAGCAGTTAAGCAGAGTGGTTGCTACAAGTATAAGCAGATAGAAAACCACAACACCACATCAACATCACACTAGTAGCTTGCATCGTTGTGGAAATGTGCTATTAATGTTGTTTAAACTGTGGGTGGCAAACACCACCAGTGTTTCATGTTTGCTCAAATTGCGCAATCACAGTTCTTGCACCATTTTGCACACTTAAATACGCCACACGAATGTTTCCACATTAAAAAACATTCAGCTTTCTGGCTTATTAGATGGTCTAAATTGCATTGGATTACAGCACCATGCCATGGACAACAATAAAACTACAAACACAACAACATTTCAAATGTACAGTACAAGTGCACAACAGCAAAATACTTTTATTTCTTTTAAATATACAAGTGTGGAATAATGCAAGAATTTAGATAGACATATGCAAATAGAAAATAAAAAGTACTACAACTGAAGGTGTTCTTGACAGAATAATGAAATAATAATGAAACAGGCAATAATAAAACATATACAGCATTACATATGTGTTGATCAGAATTAGATATAACAAAAAAATATATAATTTTACAAACATCATTTATCATCACTTACATACACCAATTTTAAGGCTTATCCTTATCGATTATTCTAAAGGTTTTGACAGAGTGATGTGTCAATACATACTTCGTCTGATTATACTACAACATTTACAACTGATTATACATACAGTGGTCCCTTGCCATTCCAACACAGTTAACCTTTCGCAGTTTCGCTGATTTTTATTTTTATTTTTTGCATTTTGACATTGTTTTCTCCATCAAGGGCGTTGCTTTGGTCGAAAGGGATAAGAGGCTTAGCCGCAAAGAAGCCCCCACCTCAAAAAAAAACGTTTTAGTGCACCCCGCTGAACAACCCCATCCCAATAATAAACTACTGTAGATGCATGAAGTCACTGTGATTTAACTATTACAAAAAACAGATGTGACTGGCTCGATATCTACATCATAGAAAACTAGTACAATTTACATTTTTGGTAACACTTTATAATAACTACACACTATAAATCATTTAGGCATTAGCATCTAGTGAATTCATTATCTGTTAAGCATTAACTCTACATTAATAAACGTTAGTAAGCAGTTTATAACTGCAGCTACAAATGCTCCATTCTTGGCTTATAAGCACCAATATATTGTGTTTAATAATTGTACTTTCATACTTTGTTAATGATTTATTTTTCATTACTAAATTAAGTATTGCATCATTTACAAACCATTTGTATTTAAGAGTAGTTGAGGGTTTTTAGGATCATTCAGAATGAGTTAGTAAATGATTAATAAACTATTGAAATCAATGTTTATATGTCTTATTATTCAGGCATATATTAATGGTTACTATATATGTTAATAAATGCTTTTTAACTCAACTTCATCTAGTTTTGTGATCTAATCTTAAGTGAGGACCTTTCATGCTTTATAAATCCCTTATAAACAACAAATAAAGGCTCAGGTAAATTCTAAGCAGGAAAAAATACGTTATTCATTCCTATTCATTTAAAGATACACACATGAAACTGTACTTCAAACGAAAAATAAATCTTTGCAACCTTACCTAAAATAAAATCACTGTAGAGTTTAAAAATTGCATCTTACTATATTGTTACATTATTACATTGTTGTTGTTGTTTTATCCAGTTTTATGTCGTATTTGGCACTCCTGTTATTCAGCAATGTTTAAACTTTACAGTCATTTTACTTTTTAAATAAGATTGCAAGGACTGTTGTTCATTTGATTCTGAGCCTTTATTTGTCATTCATAAGGGATTTATAAAACATAAATAGTCCTCACTTTAGATTAGGTCACAAAACTGCATGAAGTTGAGTTAATAAAGCATTTATTAACATATTAGTTAACTATTAGTATATGTCTGAATAATAAGACATATAAATGTTGATTTCAATAGTTTATTCATTTATCATTTACTAACTCATTCTGAATGATCCTAAAAACCCTCAACAACTCTTAAATACAACTGGTTTGTAAATAATGCAATACATAATTTAGTAATGAAATATAAATCATTAACAAAGTATGAAATTACAATTATTAAGCACATTATATAGGTGCTAATAAGTCAAGAATAGAGCATTTGTAGCTGCAGTTAAAAACAGCTTACTAACATTTATTAATGTAGAGTTAATGCCTTACAGATAATGAACTCACTAGATGCTAATGCTTAGTAAATGATTCATAGTGTGTAGTTATTATAAAGTGTAACCACATTTTTTTCTGAACAATTTGCATGGATTTACATTAATATGATGCACATTTTATTTATTGCAGTTATTTAATTTCACCAAAACTACACACATTTTATACTGTGAAAACAAATAATAAGCTTCATCAGTAGTTTGATCTATTCAGTTTTGTGAAACAGTTGTATTATTACCTCATCAGCTTCAGCTCGTCAAAATAATGGATGTATGATGACTGTGCAGTGGTGTGATTTTTTTTAACACCTGCCATGTGACAACAGTCTCACTCCCACTTGCTTTTAGAAACAGGTACTGCTGAACAGCTGACTATTCATCCAACATAAAAGCTGCGTTAAGTGGAATGCGTGTGATGTACAGTATGTGGTGATTTTAAGTACTTAAAAAACAAAATAAATGTTATACAACCTTTTTTTTTCTTAAGCGCAACATATTCCTAAAGATCAGGGGCTTTTGACAATACATCAGGGGTTTAAGCGTGACTCATTGTTGCAACTCCACAACAAATACATCAAATAATCATTGGGACAATGCTTACTGTAATATTTCCCACAAACGTTATGTGAGATCTGCTTCCTTCATGTCTGTCACTGTGCTGTTTATCTGACGCAGCCAAGGTGGAGATTGAGGCACACTCTGACAGGCACTTGGGAACCGTGGGCAGGGAGAACTAGCATTAAAGGCTTAGACAAAAAAAAAGCTACAAGATGCTCAGATTTGAAAACTGCAAACTACTGAAAGATATCTTATGGGTGTTTTGAGCAAAAACTTTTCAGACACATTCTGACGACACAAAAGACTTATCTTAAATCTTGAAAAAGGGGTACAATAGGTGCCCTTTAAAGGGGATGACAGTCCTCTGCTGTTGGTTAGAGGAGTCTGTGGTGTGTTTTTGTCAGTGTGGAGCCACAGTGCTGTAGAGGCCTCCCCCTGTTAGAGGCTTATGGAAGTGCAAGATCAGTGTAAATATATAATCAGCAAAATCATTATGTCAAATAAAATGTCAAAACTTACTGCTACACTCCCTGGAATGTTGTCAATGGTACTGTAGGTTATCTCACTGTTGACATCCTGTGGAGAAATGGATCATAAATAAAGAGAGGTGAGCAAATTCGTAATATTTCTGAATAATCAAACTGTACTTACATTTGGAGTTTCATCATTTATAGAGCTGTATATCACAGGATCTTCTGGTGTAGTGTAGATCTGCATTTTAAGCAAATAAAACAAACATAAACAACAGTAAAACAATAGTAATATCAATAAACCTACTAATGGACTACAATTCAACATCGTGTAAAGCAGGCGTGACCAACCCTGCTCCTGGAGAGCCACCTTCCTGCAGATTTCAGTTGCAACCCATATCAAACACACCTGCCTGTAATTATCAAGGAGGTATCAGGAGGTAGCATTCAGAAACAAAGTAACTGTACAGTTAGGCAAAAAAAAAAAACACCCCCTCAGCTTGCCCTTGATTCGGACAAAGTGAGAAAAGGAAGAAAAACAGCCCTATATTAGCATAAAGCATAAAGCCAGCCTGGTGGAGTTTTAAGCAGAACTGACCGATTTTATCAGTTTCCGATACCCCAGCACCCCGCATAAGCCCACCAGCAGAAACCCTGTTATCAAAGTTCCGAATAGGTAGATATCTTCAATATCCTTTAGAGACAGAGCAGCTAAACACAGGACTCTCAACTTCTCCCACCCGTCCATCACGTATCCAGCTGCGAACATCCCCGCAGGACAACTGGGTTCCCCGGAGCCCAGACTCCTGGTTGAGAAGATGGTGTCAATTGCATTCAGAGACCAGTTGATCAAATCCATAATTCATTTTTTGTTTGGATAGCAGGACACGGAGAGCCTCAGAGATAGAATAAGACAAGACAAGAGGTGCTAGCAAGGAGAGATATGGAACCGAGGAAGAGCGATCGCCTTCGCCGAGAGCCAAACAGACAGGAACAGGGTTGAGCACCACTGGTGTAAAGTATAAGTGCTGCATTATTCATGTCAGATATGCAAAGTATAAATACGTAGCAGTAGTGAACAAATAGATTTTGCCTACCAGCAAATATTAATCCGACACCAAATAGAAAAGCAGATACTGAGCAGATATACTGTCATCACCTCCAAAAGACTGATAAAACTTCAGTGTATTGTAGCTCTGACATGGGCATGAGGGTTATAAATGACTGAAAAACAGATGCGGGTGAAGTATATTGATCGCAAGAGCTCATATTGTGATAGTATCTCTGTTTTGTTCTGTTTATATGTAATCCATATAATCGTAGCTTGAAAAAGATGGAAATATGACTGGATTGTACTGCTTTTACGGCCCTTTCTACGTTTTTAGTTTTTGGAAAAGGAAACAAATTCCACCACCCCGTCCAAACTTTTTGAGTACCATCGGATTTGCACAATCCATATGCAAAGCGCTTTGGCCTGTTTCCCTTGCTCGAAAGCTTAACAGACCTCCTGCGCGTAGCTATAATTCTAACTTAAAGGACTTACTGGGTTGGTGGTGCTGCTGTTGTTTCTCTGTCTGATTGTCTGGTCATCTTGCTCTGTGTTATAGATAATATTTTAAATGAATAGACTACAAATACATTGATTTGAATGATAAAATGGCAGAATATACAAACGTCAAACTGACTTGGTTTCCGTCTTCTAATCCAGATAACAACAGCAGCCAACAACAGAACCAACAGCAGGAGAGCTGCAGAAACTGGAAACCACACAGTCAGGAGTTCAATACCGCTGTGAGACATGGAGGGAAGAAGTATAATATTTTATTTTATCTGTAATAAAGTACATCCAAGCTCAACGTTATTTATATAAATCTGTTATTACATGTTGTCTGCCCTAAAGTTTTGGAGATATTTTAAACACTAAATTTGTTATTCTAAAGAGGACATGTGCACTACTTTTGTTTTTCATCATATGCAGTTGTATTATTCATGTGATTCCCTGTTTTCTTTCTGTGAAGACAAATGAAAAAAGACAAATGAAAATAACCAGAGCAATAAGGACATGACTATATTAGAGTTCAAAACATGGGCAAGTTTATAGTATTTAGACGATGATAATAATAAGAAAATCATTTACAGTGTAGAGAAAATAATAAATACTAACGTTTTGTTGTTGACAGCACCTGTGGGCAAAAGAAGAAAATAATAAATAATTAACAAAATAATTTAATTGTGTTTTATTCCATTTTTATGTCAGAATAATCTATTACTAAAAAATACTGTACATGATAATGCATCTGTTACAGTGAGTTGAACAGGAACAATTTGATCTCCAGCAGAGCAGTAATACCATCCAGAATCAGAGAGTGTCAGTCCAGTCATCAGCACAGTGAAGAAGTTTTCACCATCATCACTGATCTGCACTGATGAATTCTGGGATGTGTTAGTCTTCTTTCTGAAACACTTCTCATCTTTATATCTGCACCAGCGTTTGAGTTTTTTCTTATATTCAGAACTGTAGAAACACTGAACACTGACATTACCACCCTCATGTCCAGATACACTGCTGCTCATCACAGACACATCAGGAGCTGAAACACACAGAAAGCAGACAATAGAGATTATAAAATACATGTGTGTGAAGTTATTGAATTTAGCATTGAAATGTGATTGAAATATTTATACAGTAAATTCTCATACCAGAATGAACCTTTAGATAAAGCTCATATGTGACATATGTGACATTCGGTTTTTGTCCAGTCTCTACAGTACAATAATATTGTCCATTATGTTTGTTCTCCTGAAGGTTCCTCATAGTTACAGTAAAGAGACTCTGATCAGGATGATCAATTACTGACAGATTCTCCTCTGTTGTGTTTGTGTATTTATTAGATTGACCATGTTCTGAAAACCAGTATTTCCTCCTTGGTGGGTTTTTCTCATCATAATAACACGGGATGGTGACAGATCCTCCAGGTTTAACAGTTATTGTACGATTTGACCCACCACTGAAGCTTTCAACACCTACACAAAAACAACACAAATATTATTTTATCCAGGATTAATAAATTGCTTAGAAATTAGGTACATTAACAGATCATGTTTTCACAAGTCTATGACCAGGTTGATACTGTACTAGAGACCAGATTTTAGACATCTGATTAACATAACATCTGATTAAGTAGGGTTGTGTTTTGCTTTGGGTTATTTTGATACCGGTGCTAAATCGATACATTTAAAGCATTATCCATGCCAAAATGAAACAATTATGTTGGATGACACTAGAAAAATATTTTATATGACAAAAAATTATTTTAAACATTTTAATCGAACAATATATTTCAAGTATTCATTCATTCATTCTCTTTTCGGGTTAGTCCCTTTAATAATCTGGGGTCGCCACAGCGGAATGAACCGCCAACTTATCCATCACGTTTTTACGCAGCAGATGCCCTTCCAGCCGCAACCCATCTCTGGGAAATAAAGTATTCATCAATTCATATTTCATATATTTGATTTGCATTTATATATATTTTTTGACAATTTGTTATAGCATGAATTTAAGATTAGCATTATGGAATTAACATTACATTAGCTTACTACCTGTGGAAAAACTGTCATCAAAATCAGTGAACTCTTTCTAGGATTAGGCCTGAGTTGTCAGTGAGTACATTTACATGAACACCAATACTCAGATTTGAATATGATTAGGACCAGTGTTGGGGTACACATTACAAGCAGCGTGAGTTACATAATAATATAAATTTTCTAAGTAACGAGAAAACTAACGCATTGCTTTTTTAAAATTAAGTAATAATATTTGAGTTACTTTTTAAAAAAAATGCAATGTGAGTTACATTTTAATTTAGTTAATTCACTTTTAAAAAATTAATTGCTGAGTTAAAATGGTTGTAGTCACGTTGAATTACGCACGCAATGAGAGAATGCAGGAACAGGCAGAAAGAAAGACAGCGGAGTCTTACATTTCTGTGATGGAAATATTGTGATTATTCTGAACACATGGAAGAAAAGGAAAAGTGGACTATCTGAATGGACAGTTATATAATTTTTAATACGACAAAAAGTACAAAAGTATCAAACACATTACTTTTAACGTTCATTAATCAGTATATAATCGCATGTAGAGCTCTGGGATCAGAAAGTTCTCAGATAATATCATCCAACAATAATTTTTTTAATGTGCGTTTTCTTAAAGGTAAGTGAACATTTTATTGTATGTAGTTAATTGCAGAGCTCCCATATACAAAAAAAAAAAAAAAAAAAGAAAGAAAAAAAACTGCCAGTTCTGAAAGACATCAAGCCTCAGCCAGGTCAGAAAAAATAAATGTAACTTAAAAGTAATGTAACGCGCTACTTACCATAAAAAGTAACTAAGAAACACAACTAAGTAACTCAATATTGTAATGCATTACTTTCTAAAGTAACTTTCCCCAACACTGATTAAGACAATACTCTGATTGAGACTCTACCAGGTAAACAGCAATTTTTGATGACCATAATCTGAATAAAGATTATGTCAGATTATATGCAATGTGTAAGAATTTATGAAGAAAAAACCCCCGAATGGGACAATACCACAAATATATATATATATATATATATATATTTGTGGTATTGTCCCATTCGGGGGTTTTTGTATCCATGCTGATCTTTAATGCTGATCTTTTAAGTTACATATATATATATATATATATATATATATATATATATGTGTGTGTATGTATGTATATATTTTCTGGTTTTTTTTTCTTCAGAAATTCTTACACATTCCATATTTTCATTTTTTACACTGAAAATATCTCACAAACCCTCAAGACTAGCAGCAAAGATCTGAACTGGTGTAACTGTTGGAAATAATCCATAATATATCTGCAACAATATATTGAGTTACTAATTTTCCTATCAGGTTGATAACGATGTCTCAATAAGCATCAATCGGGCAGTTCAGATATGGCTGCTGATTGTTCATCCCTATTTTTAGTATTTCATCTATTATTATGTCTGTCTAGTAAGTTGAGTTTGTGATCTTGGATGCACACAAAGGCCTGTGTGAAAACCCAAATCAATGAGTAAACAAAATAAAAATAAAAGAGAACAAACATTTATCTAAATCCACTGATTACCACATAGATATACAAACTTCCTCAAATAATAACTGAGACTAGAAACTAGCTTCAGATCTCCATCTTTGAGCCAGACTGGATGAACCAACATTAAAAACACACACACCTGAGCATAAAATATAACATGTAAAGGATTCATCAGAAGCAAACACAGCACAACACCTCAGACTTACCTAAAATGGGGCAAAATCCGATTGAAATGTAGATAAGGTTTAACTTTACATATGCGGACATTTTGCAAGTTTCTCTTCCTGTGTCTTGAGAAATTTCAATATGCACTTCCTCTTTTCTGTGTAACAACACTTATTTTACTTGGTTGAGAGCTGCTACTAAGAGAGAGGGAGATAAAGAGAGAGAGAGAGAGAGAGAGAGAGAGAGAGAGAGAGAGAGAGAGAGAGAGAGAGAGAGAGAGAGAGAGAGAGAGAGAGAGAGAGAGAGAGAGAGAGAGAGAGAGAGAGAGAGAGAGAGAGAGAGAGAGAGAGAGAGAGAGAGATGAACAGATAGAGAGAGCCTTGGTTGCCGAGGAGAACTAGGCAGCTTCCTTCTGCTCTCAGAAATCCAGAAGAGAGCAGGGAAGTCCTGGCTCCATCTGTCTAACTCCAGCCCAGAGAGCTACCATCAGCAGGCCCTCAAATATAGTAATGCACATCCGGCCAGCGACCCCATGCACTATCTGGTGGAAAAACAGCAACTAAATTCACAAACCCTGTCCCAACATATAAAGACTAAAGAAATAGAAAAGATTACCCAGGAGGATTATAAACTCAATTGGCAAAATAAAATACAACAAATAAATAAATTGGCGTGCTTCCACCAGATTAAACCTGGTTATGACCTGGCCCCGTATCTGACCAACATTAAGAGCCCCGGTCAGAGAAAGCTGATGAGCCGGTATCGTCTGAGTGGACAAAGTCTGAGTGTGGAGACGGGACGACACAAGCACAGCTGGAGGAGCCCAGAGCTCAGACTGTGTCCGCACTGCTCTGCTGGAGTTGTAGAGGATGAGCTGCATTTCTTCACTCACTGCAGCAAATATCAGAGCATCAGAGATGCTTACTTCACACAAATATCTCTAATTCTACCACAATTCCAGCAATCCACAAATATGGAGAAACTCCATTATATTTTGGGAGAAAATGAAAAGTGTCTCCACCTAGCAGCACAGTACGTGTCCTCATGCCACCATATGAGAGAAAAAGGCTGAACCCCCTCATCCCTCATTAAAGCTCTCTGTCTTTACCATTTATTATTATATAGTTTTGTTAATCTTTTTTTTAATTAACTTGTTTATTGTGACAACATATGTATAATATATGTTTCATATCATTCGATATCGATAATTACTGAATATTTTTTTAACAATCCATTTTGAAATATTAGGATTTTTTTAACCACTTTATTAAGATTTACCAACATTATTAAGGCAAATAGTTTTAATAGTCAAAAACAAAAATATTGATATTTTGTCAATATCGATAAAACTTTTTTATTGATAGTGACGATGTTCAGTCTATAAATATGGATACCGATTTTATCACCCAGCCCTAAATTTCACATATAGGAAAGTTCCCAGTTACGTATGTGAGATTGTCAAAAATATACACGCACCCTCTAGTGGGTTTGTGTAAACAAAAGACCCGGGGACATATTTTTCAGTTCTTAAAAAATGTATCCCTGGGCACATAATTACAATGAGCCTGGGTTGGCTATTTTGGTTTTAAGATGCTCTCTTGTGACATCTAGTAGTTAGAAATATATATATATATATATATATATATATAAAGCACCTGAAGGGATAGTTCAGCCAAAAAAGTAATTTACTCAATTTACTATCTCTCTCTCTGGAAGTGACAGTATTTAGAACTATTTTTCAGTGTATCTGTAAGCTGAAACTGCAACTCTTGGTGGATTAATTTAAAATTAACATTACAGACAGCATGAATAAAATAACCCATGCTATGGCTACTGACATTCGACTGAGGTCTTATCAAGTGAAATTATTAGTCTGTACAGGAAACTGAATCTTATAAAGAAAATTATAATCGCAGACGAAATGATACTAATTCTTCAGTGTTTAACTGAATGAAAAAATAGTAATCTAATAAATTTCAGTGTGTTGATTTAGTTCCATTCGAAACGGAATGTTGAGTAGGGGGCAGGGCTTTCTGTCCACACATCATTCCCTTTAGCAAACTTAAAGGTGCTGTATGTAAGTTTTAGACTCTTCTAAAGCACAAGAGAAATGTGTTTATTACAAAAAAAATTAACATATTTAAGGCTCTCAAAGCATGCGCGTCCATGACTAAAATGTAACCTCTGTTGGACAGTAGCAGACTCCGAAATGAGACACAGATACAGAGTTTCACATGAGGTTATAAATTAACAAATGATATAAATATTACCAACGTAAAGATTAGGTGAGCAGGTCACATTGTAACCCCGTGTCCTAACAGCACGCCATGTTAGGAGATTGGCAGTGATAAAAAAAAATTGGCTGTTTGCACCAGATACAAATAGATTTACAAACATTTAAATTAAGCCATTCCGAAGCACAAAATATGCACTCACTCATGAAATGGTAAGGTTTATAATCTTTATAAAATTATATATTAACATTATTAAATGTACATGCTGAATCACAGTTCTAAAGTTCAATTTAAAAGGTTTATTTTATTATTAAGATCTGAGATTAACTATCTGCTGCTGCTTTCAGTAGTATGGCAATAAATGTCATGTGAAATGGCATTAAAGCTCACATTATTAGCATATAACACTGAATAAAGCACACAAGGTTTACCTGAGGTGATCATGTCATCAAGTTTTCTGTTGTTTAGCCACAAGAAATAGAAGCCGTTTCTAAAATATATTTAAAATTTATTTATTTTTCTTCATTTGCGTGCCGTTTCTTTAATTTAGCACACATTTTAAATCAGCAACTTGCACTTGTGTGGGGTTTGATCTAGGGATGCAATACCTAGTTCAACTACTGGAAGTCAAACTTACATATTGCACCTTTAAGAAGACTGTGGTTGGGATTTTGTGGCTGAAGTGCCAAACTGATGTCCACAGAGAAGGACTGCCACTCCAATCATGGAAGAAAATGCTCAGATTTGGATTAAGGATGATTGTTTTTTTTTTTCAGTGGATTAATCCAAAGAATAACAATGTGTGCCAGTAAAGCAACATTGTCAATTTTGATCTCACACAGACAAGTATCAGAATGTGTGTTCAGCCGTTAGAGGGCACTATAAGCAATAAAAAAAAATCTTAGCTTGAATGTCATGAAAGAATCTTGTTTTTTTGCCTCTAAAGATATGAATATAAACTAATTTAAAAGGCTGAAAATGCATAGTTGGATAAATGTCTATTTTCTTCTGCAACAGGAAGTGGTTCTGGTGTTTGGCCTTGAGTAGAATCTTTACCCAATGCTTTCTAATATATAAAAAAAAACATTTAGTTCAGTTAGACATCTGCCCCATCAGACTCATTGCAGAGTTCACCAATGATGTTAATGACAACGACATGACTGACACTAACAATATCTTTTCTTGTAAAATGTGCACTCAGTTCCTACGTTCGCTATACATATAGAGTACATAGAGTATGCATAACCACAAATGTTTAAGTAAAAAGAAAACATACATGCGTTCAATGGTGATTTCAACACAATGAACTCTGAGAGCTGCTCACTTGATGTACAGTAACAAATTTCACAGCTCTGAATCTAAACAAGGTTGGAAACATTTAGGATTTATGAATAATTCAACAATACATTTAGTATTGTTCTAGTGGGGTTTGCATTTTTTGATGCAAAGTTCATACATATTGTACCTTTAAATCTTGTCAAGCATCAAGCAAACACAGAAAATAAGGTTTTAAATATTCAACACTTATTGGATAATTCTTCAGGATGATGTGGAGAAACTCATCTAGTTCTTTCACAGACAGAAATACTCCTTGTTCAACCTGAAATATAAAGTATGAGTGCATATCAAGAGACAACTACTGTACATTTTTTACAGTTTGTTTCCCCTTGTAAATTTTGGATACATTCAAACTCGTATAGCATACTGTATGACTTAATAATGCTTAAAGACAATCTATGATTGTTTATACATGTATGAATTATTATTATTTTGCAGCATTATATTTTTCTGCAAGATTAGATGTCACCAAGGAGTTTTGATTAGGAATAACGTTCACACTTACATGCTTGCTTCAGCTCTTGAACCAGTGTCTGCAGCTAAAATCAGAAACAGAAACAAGTTCATTAGTTTGATTATGATGTAATTCATAAATAATGTATTACAAGTAACCTCATTATAATGAGTATTTCATTATTAGAACAGAATAGATGTTTTGTCATAATTGCAACAAGATTTAAAAGTGCTCTCCAGTCAGTGCAACACTCATTTCATCTATGATGCAAAAAAATAATATTAATATTAATAATAATAATAATAATAAAGTGCTCAAATTAATTATTTAAAACTATATATACAGTTAAAGTCAGAATTATTAGCCCCTCTTTTAATTTTCTTTTTAAAATATTTCCCTAATGATGTTTACCAGAGCATGTACAATGTCACAGTATGTCTGATAATATTTTTTTCTTCTGGAAAAAGTCTTATTTGTTTTATTTCGGCTAGAATAAAACCAGGTTTAACATTTTAAACACCATTTTAAGGTCAAAATTATTAGCCCTTTTAAGCATTTTTTTATAGTCTACAGAACAAACCACTGTTATAAAATAACTTGCCTAATTACCCTAAACTGCCTAGTTAACCTAGTTAACCTATAGTTAAGCCTTTAAATGTCACTTTAAGCTGTATAGAAGTTTCTTGAAAAATAAATAGTAAAATATTATTTACTGTCATTATGGCAAAGATAAAATAAATCAGTGATTAGAAATGAGTTATTAAAACTGTTTAGTAATGTACTGAAGAAAGCTTCTCTCCATTAAACAGAATTTGGGGGAAAAATAAACAAGGGGGTGAATAATTCTGACTTCAACTGTATTTCTAAGACAGAAGTATGGTTGATAACAGTTAGATAAAAACAGTATTTGAATTTGTTTGTCCTATACCCAACCCACTCTGAGCTGAGATTGAACTGGCGACCTTCAGCATGGGAGTCTGTTACTCTACAAGGACCATAAAGACCATGGCCTCTGGTATCTGTCGCTAGAGCACCTTTATAGAGGTCAGAGGAGTAGAGCACTTCACTAGCTGGCCCTTGTTAAACTTGCATGAATTGATTTGTACTTTCTTCCTAAAGGTACCAGTTTAATCAGAGAGTGCCCATGGTGTGAAATCATACATTCTGTTTTCTT